GAAATTGCTTTCTTTGCGATACATATATGTGAGTGTTCGTTTTCATGTTTACATCAATCTTCTCACATATGACTAGATTAGGGTGTGTAGTTAGAAAATCTTCATCATTGCAGCCACCATCCCTTGTTCCCATCCTTTGCCGTGCATTTCATACCCTTTCCAGCATTCCATTTCATTATTGCAGCCACCATTCACTCTTTAATCCACATGCATTCATCATCATTCACCCTAGCTATTTTTCACATGCATTCCCTTCATTAATTCAGCCAACACATGCACTCATCACCTAACACAAGCTTTGCCGTGCACCCCCCTTTGCAATTCCAGCTTTCCACCAACCAACCTAGCTGTCATTCCACATGCATTCCCTCTTTAATCATTCAGCCACATTCTCTCACATTCTCTCCCATTCTCTCCCTATAAAACCATGCAATCCCATCACACAACAACAAGATTCCACACCTCCATTCACCACAGAAATTCTTCCATAATCTACACCATCACAACCCCAAAGCCGTGCATACACATTCCAGCAACAACAAGCTTTGTCGTGGCACTCCCACTCCATTTCCATCACCTCCCCTTCCATTTCAATCATTCCCCACTCCATTCCACATACAAACACCACCCCAAACCCTATCCTTAGACCTTGTGCCACAACAAAGAGGAGGAGAAGGGCCTAAACGTTCATACAATTCAAGTTTGAGTTGTTGGAATTTTTAGGTGTTTTCTTTTCCTTGATTTCAATGATTAAATTTACTTATCTTTGTTTTGTACGTATGAGGAACTAAACCCCCCTTGGCTAGGGGGGGATTCGAAATAGATGTTTATGCTTGCGATATGATTTGATTACTTCTAATTGCGTTTCATAAGTCGTGAATTCAATTTACTTATCTATGTGAGTTACATTGATTTGTGTATGTTGGTTGAGAGTGCACGCTTAATTTTCATGCATAAATTGGATGCTAGGATATAAGGAAATTTCACAAAATCGTTATGGAATTATATTCACAAGTAGTAAAGGTTGATGATCTCAATCGCGTTAAGTAAATTCTTGGCATAAGTTTCATGCAATCATAGTAACAAGTGCTTCGTCAATGCTTATGGTTTTCATAGAACTTAACGATTCTTGTTTGTATCCCTATTATGCAATCATGTAGGGGACTTGTGGGGAATGTTTTGGGTTGTCGTATGCAATCATCCAATTCAATAACGTTAGGAAAATCTGAGGGTTAATTAGTGCAATTCACGGTTAATCTGGGGCATTGAGAATTCATGGTTTATTGAAAAGCAATTAGAAATCGTTTTGTGTGCAAGTATAACATGTGTGGAGATGAACCCCTTAGCTAGCTTCCCATCCATTAAATTCCATCAAATTCGTTTTTAAATTCTGTTCGTTTTACAAAGTATTAAGTTTTGTTTCCAAATTCGTCAAATTAGTTAGAAATCAATTTAGTTTGTGTTTTTAGAGTATCTTGAGTCAAGTTATAACTATTTTCGTCCAAATTCTTCTCAAGTGCTTAAAACTGCTCAGAAGTAGTTTTAAGGCAGTTTTGAATGTCTTCTTGCTGTTTTGAGTCTTTTGGTGTGTCTTAGTGTTTTAAAGTTTAGTTTTGCATTCTTTGAGTTTAGTTTGGTGTCTTATATTGTGTTTTTACGTTTTTGAGTCAAATCCAAGTGATTAATAATCCCTCCTAATCCCCGGTCCAGAACAATCCCTATTTACATTCTTCACTACAATTCATAAAAAGAGGGTTTAATTTGTGTGCGTATAATGCTCGCATCACTGGCATCCCTAGAAGTAGCCACAATGGTCTTTTTCAAGGCTTAGCTAGACTAAAAGATTTTAGGCCTTTGGCTTGATCTGTGAGGACCTAGGCCTTAAAGACGGAGAAGGCACGCTGCGTAGCTCACCCTTTGGACGGTTGCCCACGAAGATGGACTACAATTAAGCATTCTTGATGTGACAAGCTACTGGAAACCTCCGGCTAGGCATCCTGTATATGACTAACTAGCAATCTTCATGTTATGGAATAGTACTCCCTCACTCATTAAGGGGACATCCCTTTGAGTATCCGCAATGTGAGCAGCTAGCATTCGTAGCTGAGCATCCCTAGTGCAATATATAAATGATCTCTGTGAGGTACGTAATTCTAGCTCCGGCTACACGTACGAGGTTCAAGTGCTTGAGCATCCTTGATGTGACTAGCTAGCATAAGTTTAAGCATCTTGTATGTGACTAACTGGCGATCTCTGTGTATCCGTAGGAACCTAAAGTCGCTGCTAATTTAACGAGCAGCCTATGGTTTTTGGAAGATCCCTAGAAATCTAAAGTCGTTGCCAAGTTAACAAGTAGTCTATGGTTTCTAGAAGATCTCTGGAAATCTAAAGCTGTTGCCAATTTATCGAACATCCTACAGTTTCTGGAAGAGCCCTGGAAACCTAAAATCGCTGCCAATTGAACAAGCAGCCTACAATTTCTGGAAGACTGCCTATGATACACCCTTTAAGTAGTTAGCCACCTAGACCTATACAATCGCACAATCTTGTGAAAAGTTAGCAGGTTAGCGTGTATATGTACAACCTAGTGCAGAACAACCCCTTGGGTTCACACTAATTCCTAAAGTGATTCGCTACTTATTACACAGCTTATGGAATTGGTTAAATAAAGTCCAAAGTGGTTCAAAACATCCTATGAAATTGGTTACATAAAGTGAAAAGCGTTCTTTCGAACCACTACCCATGAAATTCCAAAGAACCACACTTTTTTTTATGTGAAAAGGTAGCGAATTTTGTGTCCTAGCAATCTTTAGTATGTTGTGATGCAGGCCACGCAGCTCAAAAGATTGAAGAAATGACAACCAACTAAGCAGCCAAAGGTTAAGGGGCAACAACGTGAGGCAAAGATTAGCAATTCAACGCCCTAGAAGATCAAGGTTAATAACCAAGCAGTCATACAAGCACGCCTGCTTCTATAAGTTAGGCACTTTGTTGCTGACTCTCTGGTCAATAGCTTTACAAAGGTCTTAAGCCTAGATCGACAGTCATGTAGGTCATGCAAGCCTGTCCGTTTATTAAAAAGCAACATGCTTTACTAACAACCTTGTGATTAAAGATCTAGTGGACTACTGATACGAAACATGCAACTGTAGAGGTCATTCGACCCTGCAAGTTAGAAGTTTCAAAAGATACCTTAAGCAAGCAAAGATTCGGACCTGACAACTCAAAGTTGGCTCCTAAAACAATGGAGATGAGCTTGACTGCTTTGTTCAAAGCAGCAACTCCTTTGTTCATTCTACGGCTAAAGCTTGAAGCAAGGCTGATGAGTCGATTTTATACTTTATATTATTCCCTATTCTTGGTATATTTTGGTTATTATTTTGGTGAGATTTTGATGTTTTGCTATGTGTTTTTAATGTAGGACATGCAAACTTGTTTGGATCATAAAGTAACCAAACGGTGAAACTTTTTAGTAATTCCAATTGGAGTGGGTTTGTGAATCTGTCAAGAAGGTTGTGTCAAAATTTCATACTTTTATCCCGAAGCATCTGATCGTGGCGAATTAATTTATGCCCAGCGCGCAATGCTGGTAGATTGGGCCGCAGAGCTTATTTACAACTTTTGGGTTGGAAGTTGATAGATTTTGGACTTGGACTCTTCTTGGAACTTGAAGAGGAGGTTCTAATCCTTAATTTGAGTCATTTTGGGCCTATTTTGGAGGCCTGAAGGTCCAGAAACGTGCCTATCACTGTGTTGGGCAGATTTTGTGACATCCCACATCGCCCAGGGGACTGGTCCTTAAATGTATATTCCCATCTTACCTAGCACGAGGCCTTTTGGGAGTTCACTGGCTTCGGGTTCTATAGGAACTCCAAAGTTAAGCGAGTTGCGCACGAGAGCAATCCCAGGATGGGTGACCCTCTGGGAAGTTGCTCGTGAGTTCCCAAAAACAAAACCGTGAGGGAATGGTAAGCCCAAAGCGGACAATATCGTGCTACGGTAGTGGAGCGGGCCCGGGAAGTCGTCCCACCCGGGCCGGGATGTGACAGATTTCCTAGTCATAATAGGAATGTAATTCCTAGTTATTCTTTTATTATTTTATTTCCTAGTTTTTAGGAAACCTTTTCTATGAGGGTTTTAATTTGGAGTGGTATAAATAAGGCTTTTTAGCCATTAGGTTTTGGGGGAGAACGCACACATTATTTTGGAGAACTTCAGACTTTTTACCTACAAGGTGTTTTCAATCATTTTCCTAGTTAATATATTTTCTTTAGTTTTTATTATGATTGTTCGTAACTAAGTTTTTTTGCTAGAGTGAAGCCATGAGCCTTAGCATGAATATGTGATTTTATTAATTTGCTTATGAATGGATGCATGCTTGCTTTGAATTATAAATCACCGCGATTAAACTATCTAATTGTCATTTTTATATTAAATTCTTTTAAATTGTTCTCTAGTTAATTTCTTTAATTGTTTTATTTTAAAATTCGCTTTTATTATATTAAATTCTAAAATCAACATTTTCCAAACCTTAATTTAAATAATTAATTAAGAGTTGATTTTAAACACAAATTATTCATTCAATCCCTGTGGAAAACAACCTTGCTTGAGCTGCTACACTACGATAACCTTGTAATCTTGCAAGTATTTTTAAATGTTTTCATCCCTACATTTGTAGATGGTAAAAATACCTATAAAGAAATTGGCGGCGTCACTGGGGATTGTTTCAAATAATTTGTGTTTATCATATTCTTAGTTAATTATTTTTTTGTATATATCTTTTTATTTATTTGTTGATTTTATTTATTTTTATTTGGTTTGCAGGTTATAATTTGTTGATCTTGAGAGCAAGTCCATGATGGAACCACCGACAGGAGGATTGCCGTTATGGGTTTCTTTAGCAGAAAAGGGTTATTATGAATTTAAACCTACAGTTTGTGCCCTTTGCTGTTTGAAGACCCATGATCTTTTGGAGTGCACCGAACGAGAATATTTTCCTCAGTTTGTCCAAAAACATATCAATATGAGAATCGACTCCAAAAGGCATTGGAACAATCCATATTCAGAGTTCTACACTACAAGTTTGAAAAAAACATCTTGAGCAATTTTGAGCAACCTAATGTGCCACAAAAGCTCTCAATGGAGGACAAACTTTCAATATTGTTGGAATCAATTGAGTTGTGCATTGAAAGAACCCATCAAGGATTTCAAATTCAAGCATCAAACTGCAGGAACAACTTTAATGATCAGGAGGAGACTCTCAAGAACTGAGGAGCACTCTGCCAGCCATTCACGCCCAAGGGAGGAAGCAACACATTCGGATCTCTTCCCAGAACCGAGGGCCACCCATGCTTATGTGCCACTAAAACCCTTCCCACGAAGGCTGCACGAATGCACATAAATTTGATGTGTTAGAAGCTATTCATACAAAATCAACATATTGTACATCACAAGGCAGTGGACCTACACAGTCCATCAAACTCGAAGAAATGCCAGATGAGTCCTATGAACAGGCAAAAATCTATATGGGAAAGAAGACACTTATTGACAGCCAAGTTCCTCATAGAGAAATCCAACCATTGCAAAAATTGTGGGTGTTAAATATAAGGTGGAAGCCAATTCAACAGATACCAAAACCTTACAAGAAAGATTCAACCAATGAATTCAAATGCACAGTTCAAGTCAATCCTTACCTACTGACACTCTATGATGCTGCTAAGCAGTGGTTAATTTTGAAGGAACAAGTGACATGATTATTAGCCTCATTCCTCTACGTCTAGCTATAGACGTTAACTAAAGCATTAATTAGGAGGCAACCCAATTTTCTAACTCTTTTCTTTTTATTTCGTTTATTTTATTTTCCTGCTTTTATTCTTAATTACAAAAATCGAAAAAAAATAAAAAAATCAGAAAATTGAAAAAATAAAATTTGCAATTTTTAATTCATGTTATTTTTCTTTACTAATCTAATTAGGTTTTTGAGTTGTGATTGCAGGTTGCATTCGGAACTGATTCGGTCTAATCTCAACTACTCGTGAATTCATACATTAATCCATTCATCTCAGTATGCATTCAACCATCCATTCATCACAACAAAACTCATCATCACATTCATAAGAATATTCTTGGGAGTCAAATTAAACACAAATGGAAGCACATGATGAGGTCCAGGGATACTCACAGTGGGGATGCTGAGAAGACCTCTATGCTAATGGACCCCTTTCACTCTCTCACTCTCTCACATTTCAATTAAAAAAAATACTTCAATACAAGTTTTGGGGGTGGACCAAGTAGCACAGAGGAGACGAGTTCTCAAGCTAAGTTCAGATGCAGATTTTTGCACGAATTTTCCTCGGCATTCATCATCAGGAGACATGCACAACAAAGGGACAATTATGAGCATGCAAAGATATATTCATACATGGGTGCACGAATACACAAGGACACTGAGACAAAATCATTCACACAAATTCACATAACCTATTCATCTAAATCGTGGTTGATAATATTTACCTTCGATTCTACCTTAAGATCTGCGATTTGGGTTGTTTTCTGCTGTGGATCCGAGAGTCCTGCACACGATATACGCATGCATGAAGTACATCTCATCTTTCTTCCATTTCATCTAAGCATAAGCACAAATATCGCAGAAGGAGAGAGCATTTTTACCGTGCATTGAGGACAAAGAGTACAGTGATGGCTGTACTGAGATGGGATGGATCTGGTGGTTGAGCAAGGCGAGTTTGTTTCAAGTTTAGGGGTTGCATGTTGTACTTCGAATATGAGCTATAGTTATGGAGGTACGGCTAGAAAGCAGCGGTTTTGTGCTAAGGTTTGAGAGAAATAAAGAGAGAGGAAGAGAGCTCTCATGGCTCTGGGCTCGAGATGGCGGCTGAGAGCTTGTCTCAGAAATGAAAGATGATGGAAATGGCTGTCTTAAATTATGTGGTGGAGCTTTAGAGCACTTCCAGCATGGTGGAGGCCCTCTAGGGCTATCCACTATGTTATCAACTCAATAAACAGTAACTGCCCTTCATGAACAGTAAATGTATTTTTCAACTCCACCCCTGCACTTGAATATCCTTGACAATTGGTAATAAAATATTACTATTTTATTTATTTATAAAATAATACAAAATAATTTTATTTCTAATTTCTAAGGGTGGGCGTGGTTTGGTTTGGTGCAGTTTTGAGTGAAAACAAAACCAAAACCTCAAGTTTGGTTCGGTTCGGTTTGGTTTCAAACGGTTTTGGTTTTGGTTTCATTATTTGAAAAAACTATTATGGTTACCTAGTTGATGACAACAAAATTCACATCCACAAGCACCACAACAAAATAATTCAACTTGAGGCAACCAAGTTAATAAATTCATGTTCACAAATCCAAAATACAAGTGCAGTTTGAAGAGCACTTTTTGTTGAACAAAAATTAACAACGTTTGCATATTTTTAGATGTAGCATATTCAATAAGTTGGAGACGATCAAGTACTGCAAATTAATATGTAAGTCAATAAATAACCCCACACGGACATATAAGTATTTTCCTTTGTTAGTGATAGTTATGATTATGAAATAACCCCAGACGGACATATAAGTATTTTACTTTGTTAAAAGGAATTGGAGAACCGAGAACAACTCATCATATATTTGAATACTTGATAAAATGACTTCAAACTCATATAGGTATAATAATCACGAGAGATTAAATTCCAATCACATCTTCTTTCATGTCCTTTAAATCCAACAAGTATGACTTTTCACCACCACAAAGGCCAGATGACATGCTAATTATTGCATTAGGTACAGTGGTAGAAAATATTTTTGTCAGGTTGCATTGTGGGACTTGATTGGAGGTTATCGATTTTAAAAGAGGAAATATGTTTGACAAAAGAAGCTTCCAATTAAGTAGGACAAAGACAACACAACTTATTAAGAAATTTTCATCTAGAAACACCCATTGGAAAATTGATAAATTGAGCAATCGATTGCATACAATGCCTTCAAAAAACTGCAAAAGCAATGTAAGGCATCTGCTACACAAACGCACATACAAAATATATGTATACTAAATTAATGTATGCACAATTGCACATTAAATTTTTTATGTAAAAATTTACTGAAATTAATAAATTATACTGGGCAGAAACCTATCTACCCATTATTCCCATGTCACCAATATGCAAATATCATATATGCGTTCAATTGACATTCTAATGTTCATGAACGAAGAAAAATCGAAGACTAACCAAATCCCCTTTTGATTCAAAACCCAACCCTAAACCTAACCTTAAAATTAATCTCAAATCTATAAGTAAATTTAACTAAAACAAGTTATAAATCATAGTTCTTACCACATTAGCACTTTGAAATTTAGAAGCTAGGAGTTGGAAAGCCTGGAATGAAGACAAAAGGAGGCCGGAGGGGAGACCGAGAGAGAGAGAGAGCATCTAGAGAGTGGAGAGTGGAGACCGAGAGAGAGATGAATAAAGTTGAGAAAGAGTGCACAGAGTCTACGAACTAGAAGAAAGAAAGTAAAGGGTTATGTGGCCATGTTATGATGTGGTTCAGTACATACTAAATGTATGGACTCAATGTAAATAACCAATTAGAATTTAACATGTAATTTCGGTTTCGGAGGTCCGAAACCGAAACCAAACCGTTTTTCCCTATTCAGTTTGGTTTCAAACCAGAATCGTTCTGAAACCGCAAAACCAAACCGTTCGGTACGGTTCGATTTGGTTCGTGTTTCGGTTGCGGTTTTCAGTTTTAAGTGCCCACCCCTAGTAATTTCGAATAAGATTTTTAATCGTTCTCATTACGCCACGTGTCATTATCCGAAAAGACAATTATTGGTGATGGATTTCTGATAAGATTTTTAATCGTTTTCGTTGCGCCACGTGTCATTATCCGAAAATACAATTATTGGTGATGGACTTCCAATAAGTTTTTTAACCAATCATGTCGCGACACGTGTCACAATCTGTTTATAATCTTTGAGGATAGATTTCGGTCATATTTTTAACGAATGACGGCATGCCACGTGGCATTATCTACAACCTAATCCTTTATGAATCCTCCATATAATCCACCACCCGTCCTCACAAATCTCACACCAATTTTCTCAAGATCTCTATCATTATGCATAGTTTCTGCTTCATTCTTCACCAAAATCAAAATATATATCATTATTCATAGTTTTTGCTTCCTTCTTTCAATGTTTTCTTCTTCCTCAAGAATGATGTGGGAAATTGATCAGCAAAAGGAAGAATTGTTTAACCAATCAGAATGAATGTTCAATCTCTAGGTGGCCCAAAATGAGATGGAAGATGATAAAAAGCGTAGAAGGAGAAATGACGAAGCAAGAATGACCAGAACCTCACATTCCCGTCGGGTTATCCAAGTTGTGGCTTAGATCTGTAGGCCTAGCCGATCTGCAAACCTTGATAGAAGCAGACAACGACGAGGTACGGAACTCTTGGACGATTATTTTATCCGTAACAGTGCATGCCCTGATATGTACTTTAGACGTCGTTATTGAATGGAACGACATTTGTTTAACAAAATCATGATTGCTGTTTGCAACCATGATTCTTACTTTGTGCAAAAGAAAGATGCTTTTGGTGCTATGGGTCACCTTCCTGAGCAAAAAATTATTGCTGCCTTACGGATACTTGCATATGGAGCATCTGCATACCAAGTGGACGAGATAGTGAAGATCGGGAAATCAACCATTCTTGAATCCCTAATGAGGTTTTGCGGAGCAATCGAATCTATCTACATTACAAAGTACCTTCGAAAACCTACTGACATGGACTTGCAAAGGCTTCCAAAGAAGGGTGAGATGCGAGGATTTCCTGGGATGATTGGAAGCATCGATTGTATGCACTGGACTTGAAAAAACAATCAAAGTACATGGCAAGGCGTTTATGGGGACAGAAAAGAAGCAAAATGTATCATTTTGAGGCGGTGGCATCTTTTGATACATGGATTTGGCATGCCTTTATTGGGGTTCCGGGAGCTCAAAATGACCTTAATGTCCTTGCCCAATCCCCAGTGTTCGACGATGTCCTACAAGGGAAGGCACCCAAAGTCATGTACTATGTCAACGGACATATGTACGACGAGCCATACTACCTAGCAGACGACATTTACCCAAGGTGGTCATTGTTTGTCACACAATGCCACGTTCGCGAAGTGCAAAGGAAAAACAATTTGCAAGCTATCAAGAGGGATGCAGGAAGGATGTGGAGCATTGTTTTGGTATCCTCTAAGCTTGATGGGAAATTGTCAGGGGTGCTTCTGTTGGAAGTATGCCCACAAAGCCACTCATTTGATGTAATAGCTTTTTGGAATACTTATTGTGTTAAACTTTTATATGTTTAATAGAGGGCAAAGCTTATTGTTAATCACTATTTATAGTATCTTGTGTTTAAGCAATAAGGGAATCCAAGGAATGTATTTGATCTAAGAGACAAGTGATTTAAGTTAGTTAAATTAACGAGACCTTTCTCTTATGTTCATTCCTAAAACGTTCCTAGCCATAGGATTGCCAATTGGGCATTGACAATCCGCTAAGGTTAGTATGTGTTATGTCGACTCAAGCGTGAGTATGAACTAGTCTCAAGTCATTTGGTGTTGGACACTAAGGCAAACACATAGGTGCTCGAAAGAGTAATCGAGTACACTGAACAACGATCAAACGAGAGTTCGAACATACATGTCATGTGAGAACTCGATAGTTGCAATATGCAAAGTAGTCTTTTGACCTGAGGCATCATTGATGTCTAATGGTTAGGTCCTTGATCTTTGATTATGTCAACGGCATTCCATTGGAGTGTCCACGGCATTGTTGGGGTCAAGCTATCTAGTCATGTAGGCATATGAATGCACAACAAAGGATCTCTAACCTTTCATGGTGGAAGGAGAATACTCTAAGATATGATTCGAGAGTCTTTGGCCAAAGCATATGAATATGACTAAGGAAGCTTGTTCCAAATGTTATTCAACTGAATCATATAGAGAAGTATCACATTGGATAGTAGACATGAAACAAACTATCACTTAAACAATGTGATTAAGAGTATTGTATTAGAGAAGGACCGTATTGCATTGTAGTTGTAACTGGATAGGTTCTCCAACCACTTCTACTTAGCTTGGTTAACCATGACATGCTGCTAGGCGTCACCCATGGTTTGTGGAAGCCCTAAAGATTAGCAAACACTAATTTTAAGGGAGAATTGAAATGTGGTTTCAATTCACAATCGATCGTTAAGAGTAACATCGCCCACTACCTCGCTAATTGGAACCTAATGGATCGTACACCGAGTAAGGATGTAAGTGAAGAAATTATATGAAATGGATAAGCAATTAAATGGTTTAATTGAAGAATGGTCAAGATTAATTAAATAGTTAATTAATTATACGAAACGTTCGTATTGGGCGTTTAAGTTAGTTTTGGGCTTCGGGGCGCAAAAACGTTTTGGTCCACAAGGCCCATTATGTTTAAGTTGTATGACAACTAAAGCAAAATGGGCAATTAAGCCCAATAACAACATATGGCCAGCCATAAGGGTGAGGGGTAGCAAACTTGTATTAATTACAAGTTTGCCACTCACATGAAATGAAGTATAAAATCAACATTATAGCTTTGTTTCAAATTAGGGTTTTCTAATTGAATTTGAGTGAAACATATTCTCTCATTTTCTACATAGAGGCCGGCCACCTTAGGTGAGGAACATCTAGCAATCTTTCTTCCCTAAGTCATCCATTTCATCTTCACACAACATCTTTGGTGTGGAGACTTAGAGACACCAAACTTTTGGTGTTTTGGAGAACAAATCCTCAAATCCTCAAAGAAGAAAAGGAGCACTAAAAGGGAGGAAATCACAAGGAAGATCCAAGGAGCAAGGAGGTGACTTGAAGGCCCTCCACTTG